TGATTAGTACCTAAAAATTTTCCCTATGGAGGAAAAATCCGAAATTCAAAAATTATTGGGTTTATTTAATTTAGCCACAAATAATTTTTGCATTTTTTTTGTGTATTTAAAATCAAGAAAAACTTTATTTTAAACTCAAACTTCGAGAGATTCAAATCCTTCACTTTTTACCAACGGTCATAATTTCCATTGAATATGGTCTTAGAACAAAAAACATTCATCTAGTCCTAAGACCCAAATCTTGCTGTTCACAAGTAAATATTGGGTATAAGGATCTAATAAAAAAATAATAAAAATAATAAAACAACAATGTTAAATTCACCAAAGTTTTTATCAAATTTTATATCTTACATTAACGAGATCTACTGGATCAGTTGGTCCCACAAAACTCATAACTACTCAACTACGTCATTATAAATGGCCTTGTTTATCTATTAGTGCTAATTATATTATATAACACTACTCATGTGGTTTAGCAGGAGAATGATAAAAAATGCAAGAAAGAGATTTTTAAAAAAAAATTTCATGTGTTTGGTTAGCATGAAAAGGAGAATGATGGAAAAAATAATTTTTCTTCATACTTAAATTTTCTCACGAAGAACCAACTTTTTTTTCTTGTAAAAAATACAAGAAAATGAAAAAAAGTTGCAATCTATAACTAACTTCCTATTTTATCCTTATTTTTTTAACATATTTTATTAGTTATTAATTTAAAAAAATTTGGTATGAATTTGATTAATCATATAATTTGGTCCAAAAATCTTTGTATTGGTGATTGTCTTAAAATTAAGTTTCGAGCCATTTTTAAAAAAAATTTTAACTTTCAATTATAATTACATATATTTTTTTCCTTTTTAGACCGATTTAATATAATTAAGAGTAATTTATAGATAATTAAAAAAAATTATTATAATTTTTATTTCTTTCAAATAATATAATGACATTTTTTTAAAATTTTCCAATAAATTTTTCATTCTAACCAAATACATATATAAAAATATATTTTTTATCATTTTTTTTCTTAACTTTACTTCCTATCTTTTTTACTTAGTATCATTTTTTTCTCCTTAACCAAACACAGCGACAAAACATTGAACCCAGAACACTGATACTCTGCAGCGCACGCGCATCGCCAGTTTTCACAGCCTACCGACACGTCGCCCACTGTATTCCCCACCGACATAGATACGCGCCTAAATGGGCCCCCCTAGTCTAGTCCCCAAATGGATCAAAAATAAAATAAATCTGTACACAACATTGACTAATATCTACATCGTAAAAAATAAAATAAAAATCGTATCATTCTGTAATCCTTTCTTTTATAATTTTAATCTCTTTATATAATAAAATACCTTATAATTTAAATCTCAAAAAATAAACAAAATAACTTTTATTATTTGCGGTTGAGATCGTTTTAAATTTTACTTTAAAGTTAATCTAACGGTTAATATTAAAACTTCAAATTTAATACAAAAAAATAGGCCCTTAAAGGTATGTTTAGAATAATTTTTTAAAAATATTTCTATGAATTATTTTTTATAAACACTTTAAAAAAAAATATTGTTTTGAACCGCTCCATCACTACTTCTATCACTACCACCACCACCACCGCCACTAGCAACCCCACTGCCCCCCATCACAGCCACTGTCACTGTCATCGCTACCGCCACCTCCACCTCCATCACCATCGCTGCTGTCATCACCACCTCCGCCGCCACCATCACCACCATCATCGTTGCCGTCGCTCTCATTACCATCGCCACCACCACTGCCACCTCCATCGCCACCACCAGCCCCGCCCCACCATCAACATCGTCATCATCGCCGCCATTACCACTATCGCCCACTATCTTTCACCCTTCACTACAAACTGATATTTAAATTCTTTTATCTCTTCTCTATATTTTGTGATGTAATTTTAGATATAAATATAAATATATTTATTATTTATCAATTTTTATTACTTTGTGCCTTCAAGTACAGACAATAACTAGTATTCTTATAAAATAGTTGTTAATTAAAGTTCTTCCATATATAAATAAATATTGGATGTAATTTAACTTTGAGGTTCATCCCGAATCTGTAACTAATTTCAAAATTTAATACCATGGTTAATAGATTCGAATTCAGATATATCGATATTCGATTAGATTATAATTCGATCTGAAGTATAAAATATACGCATACAAATATATAATTAAAATTATATTTAATTTAGTAAATCCAATTTATTAATATGCCGACAGCATTGGGGTGGTTAGATTGAATATTTTAGTCGATTGGCAGACATTGTTACGGCTGATTCATACAGAAGATCATCACAAAAATTCTCACCGCGTCGAACGTAAGAGACCTGCTAAAAGTTGTTATGGTAGGGTGGGGCCACAAATACTATTATTTATTTATTTTATTATTTATTTATTTATTCATTCGGGTATTTTATTATCAGGGTCAGATCCTTGCCGGTTACCTAATTTTTCCATTTTTTTTTTGAACGCACCTTTATTTTCTGATAATACTAAGTTTAATTGAATGGAAACACTACGCTATTTTTTCAGTATTATATTAAAAAATAGAAAATTATTAAATTCTATTCAAAAAATAATAAATTTTATCCTAAAATAATAATTGAACCAAAAACTAGTAAACTTCACTTAAAAATCGATATAAATACTCAAAAAAATAATAAATAGTACGGAATTAAAACAACAAAATTACTAAAGCATTCACATGAGTTTGGACTTAATAATGATAAGGGAAAAAAAATTAACACCATATCTCTAAATTTTATTATATTATTAGATATTTTTATAGATCATTTTATAACAAAATAATTATAATATTTGTGAGTAATTTATTATTTTGTATGTGGTTTTAACTATTTTTTGTGATAATTATTTTTACCACTTTTATGATATTTTTGTAGTACACTAAAGTTAGGATGAATCGTAAAATCACAAAAGTAGTAAAAATATTTGTCACAAAAATAATAAATGATAACGAATTTTTTTTCCGATAACGTAAACTTGTACCATGAGTTTACATAGTGAAATGACTATTTTACCCCCAAAGGAAAAAAAAAAAAAGGTCATCAAATGATTATAATAAGTAATTAGAGTTGAAAATCTGTCATAGATTACTTTGCTTGATTCTAAAAACTTAAATGTTACTTAACCCCTTTTCGTCGCCTGTAAATTTGATTGTCTGGAAATTAAGCATAAACCATTCAAAAGCATTAAAGCAAGAATAAGAATAATTGGCTCGCATACATGTATGATAATAAAGTAAAGTTTTTGGTATCTAAATTATTAATTTAATTAATATTTTTTATTGAATTTACGGTAGACCTTAATGTTGGTTGATATCCACTAATTCAATATTTGTGATGAATTAAATTAATAAATTAAAAGTCATCATTTAAGTTAAAATAATATTAAAAATAAGAATTAAATAACATAAAATGTCGATATAAAAATATTATTAAGGCTATTTTAGTTATTTAAAAATCAAAATGTACTTGCATTTTTCATCCCTAAAGTTCAAAAAAGTAAGATCTAACCTCAAAAACTAGGCCCATGGAGATAGAAATGAATTGTAAATTTAGATTTAAAGTTCAAAACTGGACAACTCTTTTGATGTCAAGTAATATTTTTATTTTTAATCGAATAAAAAAAATAAATCAGGACATAAATTAAGTGTTAATTGCATTAGAGGTCCCAAAAGTTTGAAATTTGTTTCATTTTAGTTCTCAATATTTCAATTGCATTATTTTATTCCCTGAATAATTGAATATGTTTTTCTATACGATCTCTCAAGCAAACAACGTCCAAACTATTAACGATTTTTTATCAGAAAATTATGACGTAATACCAAAATATAGACAAAAAATAATTTTGATAGCTCTTAAACAAAACTTAGATAGCTCTTGACAAAAAATGTGTAATATAAAATTGGGATAGTTCATAATAAAAATTGTGTAATTTAGGTAGCTATTTAAGTAAAATTTGAGTAAAAATTTAGTTAAGAGTTATCTAAATTATTATTTTGTCTATTAAATATCACGTGACAAATTTATGATAAAAAATTATTAATAATTTATGTCTACTTGACTGATCATATAAAAATATATTCAATACTTCAAGAATCAAAATAATGTAATTGTAATATCAATGATCAAAATAAGATCAATCTCATATTTTGAGAACCTCCTATATAATTAATCCATAAATTAATGCAAAATAATAAATTAATGTTTTACATTATAACTTTACCCTATACCTATTCTAACTTCTTTGAGTAGGTTCCGCACCAGTTGCCAATGTCCCCGTGACTTTAAATTTTGTATTTTACCACCACCGTCCAGACACATATAGTTGTAGTTTTGTCTTTGAATTGACATTAAGGCACTCTTAGCCTCCCTCAGCTCATCACGCCATTGCAGACCATCTCTCTTCTCTATATATCACAGTTCTATACTTGTATACGCAATTGTAATAGTCATCAGCGTCCGGAAATTGCGGCGCAAGATAGTATAATACGATGTCCCCGAATCCCTCACACAGATCTACATGATCGTAATACTTCTCCCTCTCCTAGACAGAGAAAGTGAGTGAGTGAGAGGGGGAGTGTATATTGAGCTGATCCAAGTCAGTCATGTGCTGTGTATAGNGAGGGGGAGTGTATATTGAGCTGATCCAAGTCAGTCATGTGCTGTGTATAGGAGAGAGAGAGAGACTGTGTATTGGTATTTGTTTGTAAGCAGGCTTTACTTAGTGCTATCAAATCCGGCTTCTCTCTCTGGCATCTGTTCTATATTAATGGTTAATTGGAATTAAGAACTACAGTTAGGATCGAACTCTACTGCTATTGGGTGTTTAAATACTCAACTACTTTATTCCTTTATTGAATATATCAACTGAATCTATATAGTATTACATTTATATCCACCGAAGAGAAGAGTCCTTCACGAGCGAGCTCTGTCCCGATTTGGATCCATACGAAACAACCCCACAATCCGTGGGTCTTTCTCTCTCTAAACATTCAAGCCGAAGTTAGAGAGGGAGAGTGAGAGAGGAAGAGAAGAAGAAGAAGAAGAAGGCGGGAAGTGGACGGAGGAGCGAGAGTAGATAGAGCTGGTTGTGCTTATGGTGTAGCAATTGGTGAAATCTGCACTATTGTAGGCTGAAATTGAGGGTTCACTCTCTGTATCTAAAGGTACTGTTGTTTTCTGCAACTACTTTCTCTGTTGTTTTCTGTATTGCTCTGATGGTTTTGATTTATTAGTCAAAAGATGCCATTTTATCTGTTACCTATTCAATTGATCAAATGGGTTTTGGGTATTCATATATGCGTGTCCTTTTATGCTTCTACCCGGTGGTAATTGAACTGAACTGTATTTCACTTGAAGTACATTTTCTCTGTATTTTTGCTTGGTGGGTAAGGAAGGAAATCAAACTGATAAGATTCAATAGTTTATTAGCTCTAAAATGTATCTGCTTAATCTTCCTTTTTTTTTTCATTTGTGGCTGACTTTTTTCTTATAGTTGGAAAGTTTTTTCCATGGTAGACATATGATAAGAGTGTTTTCTTGATGCTGATATACTGTAGTCTTTATAGATCTGTATGCCAAGGCACCCGTTTCCTTTTTTTTTCCTCAAGTTTTAGTTTATTTCAGTTACCAATTTTTCTGGGTGTTTGTTTTTTATAATTCGTTTGTGTGGGATTTTCAGATTGAAAATGTCGAGGCCCCTCCATCGAGGTGTTTCTGGTGGGGGGAGATTCTCCGGTAATGGCCATGAGTTCTGCGATGGCTCTCAGACGAAACACAAAACGGAGAAGGAAGATGTGGTTAAAAATCGTTTATCTTCTGATCACACGTACTTATCAATCAGATTCCCTTTTCAGTTTCTTTTTCAGGATAATTCATCTTCACAACACAGTTTAGCTGAAAATGGTTTTGTATCTGATGCCTTTAGCACTGGAACTTTGAGAAGCCGGCATAGATTGATATTGCTTTTGCTCAAGTTCAGCTTAGTTGTTATAGTAATTCTGGCTCTTGCTGGATCTTTTTGGTGGACGATCTCAATTACAAGCTCTTCAAGAGGTCAGATAATTGGTGGATATAGGCGCCTTCAGGAACAACTTGTATCAGATTTACAGGACATTGGAGAGCTCTCCATTGGTAGTGCAAGATTAAAAGAATTGGGATATTGTTCTCCAGAGTCTGAAAATTTTGTGCCATGCTCCAATGTTATGGAGAACCTGGCCTCTGGATTCTACGAAGGCGAAGAGTATTACCACCACTGTGGGCATGGGTTGAGGCAAAATTGCTTGGTTCTTCCACCTGTCAATTACAAGCTTCCTCTTAGATGGCCAACTGGAAGAGATGTCATCTGGTTTGCTAATGTCAAAATTACAGCACAGGAGGTGCTCGCTTCTGGGAGTTTGACCAAGAGGTAGGTGGATACTGGAGAGCGCTGGTTTCTTTTGTTAGGTAACAAAATTCTATCAGGTCTTGAGCTTCATTTGGTTTTCCGTCCATGTTGTTGCAGGATGATGATGTTAGATGAAGAGCAGATCTCATTCCGTTCAGCATCTCTTATGTTTGATGGTGTTGAGGACTACTCACATCAAATTGCAGAAATGATTGGGCTTAGAAATGAATCCAACTTTATACATGCTGGAGTAAGTGGATTTTGCTTTCGGTGCTGCTCATTCAATATGTTTGGTTTCTTTACTTTTTCCTCCCTTCTCCACTGTCAGTTGACTTTCAGTTGAACTATGCCTGTTGGGCTTGTTGATTTATGAACATTGCAAGTAAACATTGTTTATAACATTTGACCTAATTGACATAGTATCTAGTTAATTAATAAACTTGCAAAATTTTACTTTTGCCCAAACATTGAAATTCTGATGACTGCCTCCTGAGCTTGTAATTTCTGATGTTTTCTATGGTGCATAGTTCCTGCAGTACTGAAAGTTCTCCATTGATTTTGTAGGTTGCACTACAATTATTGAACCTTTTATTTCACAGCGAGATTGGTTCTGATAACTTTGTTCACAACGATAATAACATTTCGTTGCTAACTATTCACAATAGTTATGCCAAATTAGATTGCATACCATGGATACACTGTTATGATATTGCTTGGAGAAAATTTTCTCATTGGGATTTGACCAAATTGTGAAAGGTTTTTTTTACAGCTCCTTACTTTGTTGTGAAAGGAGATACGGAGCTGACCAAAATTATTGGACATCTCACACCATATTCCTAATTTTTCTGCAATTATTTATCCATCAGCTATGCAATGATTCACACATACTGTTTGGGAAATAGTAGATGAATCTGGGTATTTTTTTATGCCTATCCTTTTTTGAATCCCGTGGGCTAATGGCATATAATTTTACTTTGTTTTCCAGGTTAGAACCATCTTGGACATAGGATGTGGTTATGGTAGCTTTGGAGCTCATCTTTTCTCCAAGGAACTGCTAACTATGTGTATTGCAGATTATGAGGCTTCGGGCAGTCAAGTTCAACTAACTCTTGAAAGAGGTCTTCCTGCAATGATTGGTTCTTTTACTTCAAAACAGTTGCCATATCCATCACTTTCATTTGATATGATACATTGTGCACGATGCGGCACTGACTGGGATCAGAAAGGTATCAGTCATAATCTTGTCATGACAGTGGTATTTTATGTAGCAAAGCATACATGGTTGATGCATATTTACAAGGGAAACATATGCCTTCATTGGATGCTTCCCCTCGAACTCCTCCAATTGGTGGGATGGATCTTATTGTAAATTTAAATATTGCACTGGGCTGATTAATGTTCATATCTACTAGTGGGATCAATGAGAAAGTTTGTTTTTTCCATAGCATTTCAATAACATTGATTAACTGGATTTTAGGAGAACTTTACTTGTATATAAACTAGCAAAAAGTGAGTTTCTACGGATAGGAGAGCAGTAACTGTGGAGTGCTCGAACTATATTTTAAGGTATTTTATGAAGCCAGCCCTGAAAGTGGCTTACAGTTAAGGCTTTTTTAAGGTACATCTGATTAGTGAGGAAGCAGTAAATTCAGTTTCTTATCAGTTTGCTGAAGCAACTGTCAGTTTTTTTTCTTGGCTACTTATCACTGAATCTAATAAACCAGAATGTAGGTAGTTATTGTAAAAGTATCCTAATTATGTCTTTTTGGATGTTTGACTATAAATCATGCCTTTTGTCCCTATAAGCTAAATATTCTACCTTGCAATTGACAATACTCGTGCTCTGCCTCTTGTTATAGTTTGACCATACAAAACAAGTGTAATGTACAAATATCTTATTCACATATCGCGCGTAACAAATTCTTATTAAGTGATGGTTTTTTAAGGTGGCCAGCTTACGGGCCAGGCCTCTTTCTGACCTGATAACTAGTATCGCCTCGCCGCCAACTCTATCAGTAGGCCCTTTCTTTTGTTGCAATACTTAAAAAAGTCTCTCATGGCAGAATTACAGAATGGTTTTTTGTTGACAAGTGGATGTAATTGTGTCTATTGTAGGACTGGAATGTCGTAGTTGACAAGCTGTGATTTGTGTTGTGGTACAGATGGTATTTTACTTATTGAAGCTGATCGAGTACTGAGGCCTGGTGGGTACTTTGTCTGGACTTCACCACTTACTAACGCTCAGCGCTCACTTCGCAACAAAGAGAATCAGAAAAAATGGAATTTTGTGCGTAACTTTGCTCAAAATCTCTGCTGGGATATGCTGTCCCAACAAGATGAAACTGTTGTGTGGAAAAAGACTACAAAAATAGATTGTTATGCTTCTAGGTTGGTTGACCTTTACAATAACTTTTGTTTTTTTTTTTTAAAGTTCTATTCAACATTTTATTTCTACTATGAGCATTCAGTTGATTTGAATACATGTTGAGATGGTCATAGGACCATGGGAGCATTGAGAGTGGTAGCTGATCCTGATCTGTGGTATGAACTGCTTCTATCAGGAAACCTGGTTCTGGTCCTTCTACCTGCAGCAAGGGCAACGATGTGGAGTCCCCATATTATCGGCCACTCCAAGTATGTATAGGTGGAACTGAGAGTCGCCGATGGATTCCCATTGAAGAAAGGGCAACCTGGCCTTCTAGAGCTAAACCAAATTCAAAAGAACTTGCTATTTATGGTAATTCTTAGCATTCAAGATAAGCTTGTTTGTGGAACCTTGTCTGGGATGCATGTAAATAGAACTTGTTGGCCCAAAAAATGAACACACCTTCCCACTATATTTGCTGCGCTGCATCTTAGCAATCATATTAATGATTCCTGTGTTTTATCAGGTCTAAATTCAGAAGACCTTGCTGAGGATGCCGTATCCTGGAGCTCAGCAGTCCGAAATTATTGGTCTCTGCTCTCCCCACTCATTTTTTCAGATCATCCAAAACGACCTGGTGATGAGGATCCTTCTCCACCTTATAACATGTTGAGAAATGTGATAGACATGAATGCACGTTTTGGCGGCTTCAATTCAGCTTTATTAGAAGCTGGGAAATCTGTGTGGATAATGAATGTGGTCCCTGCAAATGGGCCCAACTACCTTCCCTTAATCCTCGACAGGGGATTTGTTGGTGTGTTGCATGACTGGTAAATTCCATCTTCTCTCCCTCGTCAAGAACTAATTAATTTTTTGTATTCAAGGAACATTGTTTTACATTGACATTCTAGCTTGACACAGAATTTGTAAACAAAGAAACCTGTCAATGTGAGACACTAACCGTCAGCACGTGAGGATCAGTTGGACTCTCTGTCAGTTGATTCCTTAACTGGTTCAGAATTCCTCCTAATCACACATCTGCTTGACACGAGCACTAAACATTTATGCTAGTAAGAAGACATTTTATGTGTCCTTTAGTTATAATTGGATTTGTTAGGACATTATCTTGGGTAGAACACTCATACTTTGTATGATCCTTTTCTACTAGAACAAATATGTTACATGGATCGTAGGTCGCTCTGATACATGGTTCAACACTTTCTTAGGTACACAATTCGATGGGGATAGGCTCAGCTGATACCATGTTTTGGATCGCAATTCGTTTTGGAACTCTTATCTAGATCTTTTTCACTATTATACATATTACATATAATAGAACATCCATAAACACTAAATTAGTTACTATTTATTTTACATTTTTACTCAATTTTCTAACAATATATAATTATATATCTATATACACATAGTCAATTAATATGTATTTTATATTTGTACTACATATTCCAAAGTGAATCGATTTAGGGTTAGTATTCTAATATGGGGACATAGATTTTGGTGATCTGAATCACAAACCCACCTCCGTTTGGAATCGATATACTCAGATCGTGGTAACTATGGGAACAATTTTATGATTAATCTGATTTCTGAGAGGTTTTATGTGAGTCCCATATTTCATATGTATATATATGCATGCACCCACATACACTTAAAAACACACACACATGCTAGGGGTAAAGTCCCATTTTTCAGATAAAGAAGTCAACTGCACACGCCCCATAACATGGTGATAATGTTGTTGCTTGTGCTTCTTACGGCACTAAAATATCTTGAAATTCTTGAATTAGTCTGTACAGTTAAGGAGCAGTGCAATAAAATCTAGAATGAGCTTGAAACACAAAGATGCAATGAATGTTAAAGGAAATGGGAAAAAGGAAATGCAGATCATGTGATCTTGCAAAGAACTTTTCAGAAACATCTCCAGGATTCTGCCATGCTAAGTTAGTTATCCAAACAAATATAGTAATTCAGTGTTGAGGTATTCACCAGTAAGTGAAAGGTTTGAAATGTGACACAAATTCTGGAATCACGTGCCCTCGAAAAATGTCAAATGTTATGTCCATGCCTTATTTTATATCCATTTCTAGAGAATTTTGGGTAAAATTAATGGGTTCACCTGTATATGTTTCTGTGATTTATATATCATTTTAATTTCTCCTTTAGGTGTGAACCATTTCCAACCTACCCGAGAACCTATGATCTGGTGCATGGTGAAGGACTCTTATCACTTGAAATTGGTCAGCAGCGTAGATGCACCCTGATTGATCTATTCTCTGAGATTGATAGGTTACTTCGTCCGGAGGTACTTTGATCCTTTCTTTACTCTTTCTACATTCCACTTTTGAAGGGCGTGCATTGATCTATTCATTCTGAAACTAACAAAATTTAGAGGTTAGATGAGTGGTGAGCTGTCTGATATCAGTTTACTCAAAAAAGAGTTTGATGACTGCTATGTCCATGGAGTTTTTAGAAAATTGGTAAAATCCATATGGAAACATAATGCAATTTTAAGCTTTTGTAAAGACCATGCAAGGCAATATTGTAGATGTTACCAAAATTAAATATAACATATGACCAGTTGGGTCAAACAGTCTAACCAATCATGATATAAAAAATTAACACTAATTACAAACAGTAAGATAAGTTTTCATTTGTAATTTATAGTTCATTACCACAGAAGTGCAGTTCCCTTAGCAAAGTTAATAACGTACCCTTAGCAAAGTTAATAACGTAACAAGAACAGTATTCGAATATGGGAGTGATGTTTTTTTTTAATTGCTTGGAAAGAAAGCAGTACAAGAAAAAAATTAAAACGGATTTACAGAAGCTAACTACAGGAATCTAAGTTCTATCTTGGATTCCTTTACTACTACACTAAGCTTGGAAGATGCTCACTAGGGAGCAGGCCTTTATCCTTTAGTGTCAATCCCCATCTTGCAAGCTCGTGTGCTGCTGACTTTGCATCTCTCATAAACCATACTCCAATCTGGTTGCTTTTTGAGAAGCTGCTTGATGTCTTGAATAATTGGCCAGATTGTCCATGATGGTTTGATGTGTTAAAGCATCACTGCATTTACCACTGTTTGGGAATCACTCTCTATGGTAACATAACTCCATCTTTCCGCATCTGCCCATATAGCAGCCATTCTAGATGCCAAAGCCTCTGCTATAAGTGGGTTCTGTGTTGGTTCTAGTCCAGTCTGAGCACTCACCACAGTTCCGTTATCTCTTCTAACAATCACAGTTGTACATTAACATTCAGCTCCCATGGCATCACCCACATTGATCTTGAGACTTCCTTCTTCTGGTGGTTTCCATGTGTGGCCTAAAGAGGACATCGAAAAAACAGAATTGAGTTATATGGCTTTTGGTAGGTCTTTGAGGTCTTTAAACTCATTGAAATGCTGGTCAATGTCCAGAAATAGTTTCTGTGGTTCAATGGGTGCATCATGGAACAGGGACTGATTCCTCCAGTGCCAAATGGAAGTAACTATGAATGCTGCGTATAGTATCAGTATGAAGTAGTTTAGGACCAAACAAGGATGTAGGATTGAGTAGATGATGGAACCAATCCTGTAAGCTTAGATGTGGAAAGTGATCTGTATGCAGGCCCCATTTGTTGAACCATATACTTCTAGCAATAGGGCAAGTAAAGAATTAAGTGTTGCTCTGTTTCAATGTGCTGCTTGCAAAGGGGGCAGAAAGGATCTTCAATAGGGATTCTGGTAGCTGCTAAGCTCTTTGTTGGGAGGGATTCAGTGATGGTTCTCCATAGGATCATCTTGTGCCTCTCCTGAATTTTCGTTTTCCATAAGGTTTTCCAGTCAAAATGGTCTAGGTAATGGCTGACTTGATCCTTTGTTCCTCTTGAGTGATTGATAAGGCTGATTTAGCAGTGAATCGACCATTATTTGAGAGGATCCATGCTATCTGATCTTCTTTTGGATGCTGCTGAGGAAGTTGGAATTCTCTGATAGCTTTTATGGTTCGATCACCGAAAAGACTAGAGGGCAACTCCATGTTCCAGCTTTTATCGTCTTCATTCAGAAGTTCTGCTACTGTTGCTAATATGGGAGTGGGTTTGTCTTGTGAGTCTCAACCAAATCCCATCAAAACATGAACAGTAAAGTCAATGAACACATTTCTAATGTCCAAGAACAGAATGCAATGATAACAAAAACCGAAACTCCAAAAAATCAGAATTCAACAGAATGAAGTGGAAAAAAATTCAGATCCGACAAAACAAACATCAAAAAACCACAACAGAGATCAAAGAAATCAGTGGGTGAGGTTGCTGGCTTACTAGAGAATGAGATAAATAGGTGGAGAGATGAGTAGAGAAGAAACCGTGACTTGAGAGGGATTGGAGATTAGAGGAGTGACCAGTGTGGACGATGCTCTGAGACTGTGAGAATGGCCTGTAAGCCCTTGAGTATAAGGCTGAGACTGAGAGCGAGAGTGATGAAGTGGATGACTCAGTCAGAGGAATCTGAGAGAGATGGATTTTGTTAGAGACTGGGATCGAAAGAGGAGTTTTTAGAGCTTAAAAGTTCAGCAAACACAATCCTTTTTAGGTAAGGTTCATAACCATCGGGTTTAACAACCCTTCCGGTTCACACTGTTTATAAAAGAACTGCCCTTTGTCATCCGGATTTTTCAAGGGTTTCATGCACAAACGGTGCAATTATTAAACCAGTCTGATCTAGTACCAGGTCACCTGGTTCCCTTGTTGACCTGACTGCTCTGGGCTGGGATTGATAATACTGCAGCCAGTACTATATAATTACAAATGCATAAATTAATAATAATAATAACAGAAAACCAACAACAACAACATTGCATAATATGTTTGTTGACATCTGGAAGTTCTTGTCAGCTCTAGAACCATTAGGAAATCCTTCAGGTTTCCATTTCATGTATCCCAACAAGGTGACCTGTCATGAGCGTAGATGTTATAATATAATGTCAGACAAACAATGTCGAAAAACATCCTCGGTAATATTTGCTGTAAAGCCTGTAATTATCTCTTCTAGCAGTTATTAGTCCATGCACTTGCAAGGCTTATGCTCTTAGTTTCCATCACATTTGGTGTCTATGTGGAACTCCAGTTTATATTGTCTGCTATTTCATAGTACTGGTGGGCTTACTGTATTCTATTCTATCCAATTCTTGTCCGATCCTTTGTGTTGGATTTTTGCTAATCCAGATGGGATTCGTGCAGGGATGGGTGATATTACGTGACACAGTCTTTCACATCGAATCAGCTAGAGCTCTCACGACACAGTTAAAATGGGATGCCAGAGTTGTGGAGATCGAGAGTAACAGTGACGAGAAACTCCTGGTCTGTCAGAAACCTGTCTTCAAGAGAGTAGCAAGCTAATTATATGAAACAGTCCAAGGAAAGCCCAAGAATGTAGATGATAGTAATTCATATTCAATTTGTGGATCTAAACTAGTCATAAAGTTCCACACCAACGGTGGACTTGGAAGTTTTGAACAGAAGAAGAAAGCAAAAACTGGAGGAAAAACAAGATTCTGCTTGAAAAAAAAAAGGTCACAGCACAACTCCTATGGAGCCGTAAGGCGTAAATAGGGCCATGTAATTACTTTGATTGAGGAAAAGGGAGAAAAAGTATAGGATACTTGAATTTTCCTTGTGATGTCTCAATACAGCTCATACGACCATATAAGGAATTTACGTTGTTAAGATTTTTACACAATAAGCCAGTGTTATTTGCTGTAGTATATATAGAATCATTGGACTTGCACGTATGGGGAGGATTTGGTTTTTTTCCTTAATTGTCTGTCACAGTTTTTTAACATTTGAACATTGGCAATTTTTACCGTAGAAAGCACCACTTAAACATGTTGGACCAAAACAGATTTTAAATGTAAAAATTAAATTTTTGTTGACTTTGAGTCTAAATTAAAGTGGGACTTGTTCATTGTTCCGAGGAAACTTTTATGGGTTTGTGTTCTACTTTGTGAGAACAATAATGTAGCATATTTACTTGCTCAAATCGAGTAAGAAATGAATGAGAAAATAGGTACTAAAGTGTCCCTCTTAGAATGTGAAAATAGAGGTTGTAAAATGGGATTTGACACCAATTTTACATTGGTTGAAGTAGTTTTACATAGGTATATATAAGTCAAATTTGCTCTATGAAATTGGGTCCTAATGGGTACCACATTTTTATGAGCAGAGAAAATGTTTACATGCCATCAGTTCGACCACACATACACGTGCTCTGCCCGCCACGACCCAAATTGGCAGGGCTCGAGCTCGGGTGTAGTTTAAACTAAGTCTTATTTTTTTTGGAGAAAATTCGTTTAACGAATTGGGTGTGAATTTTTGAACTGGAATTTAATTTCAGTACTTATTGGATTTGAATTCGTTTGGCTTGAATTTTGTCTTCCTTCTAGTCCGAATTTTTGAGTAGTGTCTGTTCATATAAAACAATTACACATTAGTGTCTTCTGGTTGCATGTGTGTTTTCTGGTTGCATGGTGGCTATCCGGAATAGTCATCAGTTTGTCTATATAAACTCAGGTTCATTACCATCCTGCATCAATCATTTTTCGAAGTTAAGACAGACATTAGTATATTACATTTCGACACTAAGACAATCCACATTCGAAGAATACACAACATAATTTCTAATTTGTTGGACAAGTAGATTAGAGTGTTAATTCTATTCGCGTGAAGATCATTGTATCCTGTGAGGCTGATGCTTTGATTCCATAAGTATCGTGTGTGGGGGCAAAATTTGTCTTAAGGACATAATGTCAAACTCTAATTTTGATCTACTTTAAGTTTAATAATAGTTCCCTCTGTAAACAGGTCAGTTTATCCATTGTTTAAATTGCAGATTTCTTGTGATATTATTTAGTTCGTATTTGTATCTATTTCGTATCTGTAACTATTTCGTACCGGTAACTGTTTCGTTCTTCACTATTACTGTTTATTCTAATTACATGATATAAATCAGATATTTCAATAAGTGATTTTACCACAAACAACAATCTTAAGATATATTTCTATTTATATAATTATTTGTTGTGTTTTTGATTCATGTTTTAAACTGTTCTAAAATATTACAAATTGTTAAAACTTATTTTTTATAATTTGTGGTATTTTGGAGATACTTGAAAATTTTTGTGCAAAAATGGTATATTCTGTTTGTGTTTAATTCAAACAGTTAGACCAAACAATAACTCTGTTTATATGTATAATTTAAGCAATTACACTAAATAGTGACATTAAAACAATGACACCATACAATAACATTGAAATAGTAACTTCAAACAGTGACATTGAACTGTAACATAGATTGTTGTTATAACTTTAGAATTGATCACCCAGTGTAGGTTGTACGAAATAATAAATTTCTCGGGATTCCGAGGTCAAACCGAAGGGAATTGTGAAAACTTAGAACAAAAAGAAAAATAAAATAAAATTGCTTTGAAAAATTGTTGTAGATATTTTGAAATTAAAAAACAATAAATTTGGTTTTAAAACAAAAACTGAAATTACTAAAGCATCAGGTACTCTCTCTCAAATCCATACAATAATGATTAAAGACTTAGTTCTTCACCCTAAACAAGAATCAAATGTCGGTTGATTCAAGTCACCAAATTTAACAATAAAACCAAGAGAACACCTTTATCTATAATCAAAAGTTTATTCAGGAACCTAAGTAATCCTCCAATTATACTATTCTGTGAAATAATGATAATCAAATTAAGTATGGAATAATCAGTTATTTAACTCACAGAAAAATTCAAATGTTCAACATATAAGACATAAAGACCCATGAATTTTTACTGAGCAAAAACTTTGTCAAAAAATCAAAAGTTGAATTAACAAAATATCAAATACCATTAAACTCAAAAATCAATAACATTACCGTACTTTATTGAGAGGTACTCCCCTAGCCTTAGTTAGGCTTTTAGCAAGCCATAAAAATAGAACAAAAACTAAAAAAGAAAAGATGGGAAAAGAATAATAATAATCATTCAAATCCTCCCCTCTCATTAGGTGAGAGCTCTTATTTATACTAAAATAAATTCTAGGTATAGGTACAAGATATAAGATTAGGTTGGGAAGAATTCCTTTTTAAAAAGAAATCTTTTAAGGTTAAATCCCGTGTATAAAATTTTTAGGGCGTAAGTACAAAATCTATCTAGACTTACAAGCTTAAGTGTATTTCATAAAAATTTCGTGAATCAGCTTTTAAATATGCGAAAGTAACACAAACATTGGTGAGAATCCAATGCCCCGAAAACCTAAGGGTTCCTCCGTAAGGTTCGTCCACGGAGGGTAAGTCAGGGTCTAAGTTAGCAAGCCATAGAAATAGAACAAAAACTAAAAAAGAAAATATGGAAAAAGAATAATAATAATCATCCAAATCCTCCCCTCTCAATAGGTGAGAGCTCTTATTTATACTAAAATAAATCTTAGGATTAGGTAAAAGATATAAGGTTGGATCGAAAAGAATTTATTTTTAAAAAGAAGTCTTTTAAGATTAAATCATATGCATAAAATCTTTGGGATGCGGGTATAAAATCTGTCCAGACTTCGAACTTGGATTTCACATATTTAGAAGTTGATTCACGAAATTTTTGTGAGTACACTTTTGTAGCTCTTAGAGTCTTTTTTCCAACCCCGCAAAAATCAAGTCAATCAGATATCGGAGTCAAAAGTTATAATCAAAATACTGAAGATGTGTCAAATCCTTATCTTCTATGATACTTTTCAAATCCAACTTTAAATGAGTTTTCTTCTAATTTGGACTCTTATAAGGATTAAATTATTGTCATATCTTTAAATCTTCATATCTTAATCTTGACTTTTCAATCCTTATCAATTGTGATTCTTCCTCTAATGGTTGCTTCACTTGTCTTATCCATTATCACTTTAAATCAACTACTTGCCTTCGTGCATGAATTTCGCATATTTAGAGGCTGATTCATGAAATTTTTATGATACACTTTTGTAGTCCTTAGAGTCTTCTTTCCAACCCCACAAAAATCAAGTCAATCAGATATCGAAGTCAAAAGTTATAACCAAAATACTGAAAATGTGTCAAATCTTTATCTTCTAGGATACTTTCCAAATCTAATTTTAAATGAGTTTTTTTTTTTAATTTGGACTCTTATAAAGATTAAATTGTTGTCATATCTTTAAATCTTCATATTTTAATCTTGACTTTTTAATCCTTATTAATTGTAATTCTTCTTTTAGTGATTGCTTCACTTGTCTTATCCATTATTACTTTAAATCAACTAATTTACTTGCAAAATAAAAAACACAACTAGAAAAAGTATCAAACTAGAAAATCATGAAATTTAACACATTTAATCATAAATAATATGCAATTAATCAATCATTAAATATAATAAAATAACAATTTTGATGGTTAATCAATTTTCTATGTTTAGTAACTTGCTTTGTAAAGTGTTACTGTTTTTCTATTTTTGAATATTTGGCAATTTTGTATCAAAAATGGTTAATCAATTTTCTATGTTTAGTAACTTGCTTTGTAAAGTGTTACTACTTTTCTATTTTTGAATATTTGGTAATTTTGTATCAAAAATGGCTACAAATGATAATAATGTTCTTACTACTATAAATTTTGTGGTGCCTATTTCTGTACATATTCATGTGTCTCGTAGGGAGAGGCCTGAAAAATTCAATAAGAATGATTTCAACAAATGACAACAAAAAATATTATTCTATCTCACTACATTGAATTTTGCAAAGTTTCTTCGTAAGGATTTTTCTGTTTGTTGTGAGAATGAGACTGATTGTTAAGTTATTGTTGCGGTAGATGCATGAAAGCACTCAATGGGTCAGATATAATTGCTACGATAGATAAATGAGGTTGTTTGTAGTGAAGATATAATTATGTGTAAGAATTATATCCTCAATGGGTTAGATAATACATTATAAAATGTATATAGTTCAATCAAGATGACTAAAGATTTATGGGAATCATTGGATAAAAAGTACAACAAAGGAGAATGTCAAAATGAAAAAATTCGTTGTGGGCTGATTCCTTAACTTACAAAATAGTGGATTCCAAGATTATCATAAGTCAAAGTTCAAGATCTTCAAGTGATTTTACATAAGATTCATGCCAAATGGATTTTAATTAGTAAATCTTTCCAAGTGGCTGCAATTATTAAGAAATTACCATCGCATTAGAAGGATTTCAAAAATTATTTAAAATACAAATTCAAAGAAATGAAACTTGAGGATTTGATCGTGAGATTGAGGATTGAGAAAGACAATAGAGTCTTCGAAAAGAAAGTTGGTAATCATTCCATGAAGTTAAAGGCATATGTGATTGCAGAGGGACACAAAACCAACAAGAAAAGGAAGCATGTTGGCCAACAAGGGGCCAAGCGTGGTGATTCTAAAAGGTTCAAAGATAACTGTTTTGTGTGCAACAAACCAGGTAATCGTGCAAAGGACTGTGGAAGCCATAAAACACAAGAGAACCACAAGAGGAATGTTGCCTAAGCCAATATAATTGAGATATAATTTTTTTTTTGAAAATGTTTGTAACATGAGTTTTTTTGTTGTAGTACCTGAATTGAACTTGGTGGAGAATACCAAGGAATAGTGGTTGGACACCGGAGCCACTAGACACATGCTCAAATAAGATATTCTCTTCATATAAACCAATTAATGATGGAGAATAACAATTTACGAGAAATTCCTCTATTCTAAAGTTAAAGGTAAATGAAAAGTTATATTGAAGATAACTTTCAGAAAATAACTTACTCTTAATTATGTATTATATGTTTCATAAAGTAAAAAAAATCTTCTGTTTGGATCATTATTGAATAAGAAGGGTTTTATGTTAG